GCACGAGTTTTCTCCCTGCAGTGGCAAACAGCATCTCTGTAGTCCTCCCGTGCTGCCTGCCCTTGCCTCCAATGTCCATATACTTTCCTTTTCTGTCTAAGTTCTAGAAGAAGATCTCTGCTCAGCCAAGCTGGCCTTCTTCCCCACTTGCATGACCCAACACTGTGGAATTGACTGCTCTTGTCCTCTTAAGAGATGGCTCTTAAAAAGTGACCAGCATTCACGCACCCTAACGCTTTCAAAAGCAGTTTCACAGAGGACGTTAGTGACTAGCTCCGTCAGCAGCCTGGTCTGCTCTCCCCATATCCAGCACTGAAGTTTTGCAGGAAGTTATTCTCCTGTTGCCCACGATTTGAAACTCAACTACTCCGTGGTCACTGAGACCAAGCCAGCCACCAACCACCACTTTGTCCATGAGTCCCTCTCTGCTTAGATACTACAAATCTAGGAGGGCACCTTTCCTAGTCCACTCCCAGTTCATGCACCAAGAAATTATCTTCGACGTGCTTCAGAAATTTCCTGGACCTGTTTGTGTCTGCTGTATGACATTCCCAATTGATGTCTGGGAAGTTAAATTCACCCATAAGGACAAGGGCAGTTGGTCTAGAGGTATCTTTTAATTCCTGGTGGAATAACTCCTCAGTGTCGTTGTCCTGGCTGGGTGGTCAATAGCAGACTCCCACAACAACATCTGCTTTATTTGCTTTCCCCTTTGTCTTTACCCAAAAGCTCTCAACCAAAAGCCACTCCAGCTGTCGGAGAAGCCAAGAAACATATTTCTCGTTGTGACTGATGGTAACTCACAGTAGCTGAGCTTTACAAGGCAAAAACCTGCAAGCGCAGGACACTCCCGCACCAGAGGCTAGCAGCTGGGCTGCCAAAATGCCATAACTTACCACTCCTTTCTTGCTGTGCTCACTATAGTCCAACCGACTCTCGCACTAACTCAGGGGCTACCTGACCTTTCCAACAGATGATCCCAATCTTGTAGATCTGGGCAAACACTGGGATAATGCATACCTTCCTTCCAGCCCTAGGAGTGGGACCTGCATGGAGCAAAACACATCAGGGCCTCAAAACCAGCCTGCTACATTCACTGCACACCTTCTCAGTCCCACTGGCAAAGCCCTGCCACTTGTCCAGCATTGTTACCAACTCCATTGCAGGACAGCTTGGAAATCCCAGCTATGGTCCCTCACTGCGTGTGCACAATGCTGTAGGAACCCAGAGCAGAGTTGATCCCTGTCCCAAAAACACTACACTGCAACCAGAGCTGGGCAGCAAGAGCCTGGCGGGCGGAGCAGTGTATCCAGGGCAGCAGCTTGCACAGCAAGTATGGGTGCAGGACAGTGCACAACACTTCCAGTAATGGAGTGCCCTCTCACAGGTGCTTCTGGCAAGTCCTCATCCTGATTCTTAAGGAAGCTTCTCAGCTATGAAACACCTGCCCCTGGTACAAGGTCTTGCTTTCTTCTGTCCTTGTGAAGAATACGTTACTCTCCTATCCTTCCCCACTCCTCCACCAGCAGGGCAGCCCTTTGAGGCCTCTTTGGTAAAGCAAAGGGGATGAACACCGATTTACTCTCCTTCATTCACAGCAGAGTTGGACTTCACAAGATGGAGAGCAATTTCCAGCCTGTTTGAAATTGATACAGGAGTCTCAGGATTTTCTCTTACTTCTGTAGTAAATTCACCCAATGGTGAGTGCTATAAACAAACTACTTACTAGTTTCGTTCCTGCCAGGGAAGGACTCCCCTGGCACCTCTACCAGGCAGCTTTAATTAGGGACAGATAGCTTCCCCCAGCCCAGAAATAGTTAATACGCGTACAACAACAGAAAACCAGTAGCCACTGCAAGGTTTACAACTCCCACCTCCACTGGTCACACCGTGCCTGGTGCACCAACACCACCAGACTCAGCTCAGGAGCAAACCAGGCAGAGCAAACCTTGGGCTCAGAAGGTGAACCAGATGCTGCATGAGGCTGGTTCTTTAGTTCCTCTGAGCCCTTGCTAATGAAACAAGGTCTTCCCCTTC